ATAATTCGCTTGCGCGTAGGGGTCTTTAGCAGTGGGAGGATACCGAAGGACCCGGAGAAAACCTTCGTACGACCGGTTAGACAGGCGACCCTACTCCTTGTCACGTACAACCGGGGATTCGAAACTACGCCAGTTGACTCAATGACAGACCTTATGATACAACGCGCACGCGCTAACCATTCGGCCACCCAACCCCGATTATACCAAAATAAATATTATCAAATCTAATTTAATTTTGAAATTACTGATTTAAAAATAAAAGTATAAGTAAAGACATAGATGACAGAAAGTTACCTTGAAAGACAAGGTATCAAATTTGACTTAATTTTGAAATTGCTGATTTAAAAATAAAAGTGTAAGTAAAGATATGGATGACAGAAAATTACCTTGAACGACAAAATATCCATTGTTCTTAGACCCCGAGTCACGAGTAAAACAATAACATTTAAAATTGTTGAAATTTTCTAAAAACCTTTAACTGACTTTTTTCTGGTGTTTCAGTGTTTAAGAAAATCTTCCCATGCGGTAGGATTAAATGATTTACTCATGTAAAGGACCTGACAATCTTTCTACCCTGTGCCAACAATCCCTAACTTCCAGACAAACGAACTGATACGTGGGCATTTCCGTGAACCTGTCCGGCTACTTTTAAAATGTTTAAAGAGATTTAAAAAAGGCGGAGAGCGGTCGGTTAATACTTCGTAAAATATTTCAAGATTTTGTTTTGTTTTTATTATCGAATATCTTAAGCCGGTTGGCGTATCACCGTGTCGTGAATATGCCAGGGAAATATGTTGATGGACATAGTGCGCATGTTATAGCGGGAAATATCTCGAGAGCTCGGACAATTTTCATTCATATTCGACTTCATGGCGCGAATAAAAAATAAAAAAAATTGGAAGGGAATAAATGCTGTTGTTGTTGTTGTTGTTTATTACACATTTAACGCCTAATGCATAATATATGATATTATTGACAGGTTGATTTAATTAAGTTATTTACATATGAAGGAGTAATATATAGAAAATGGGTAAAACACTAGGAAATGAAACAAGGTTCTTGTATATAGGGAATGAATGAATGTAATGGTGTTTGATATGATCAGTTTTTTTGTTAATGACCTATGACACTGGGAGGAGGGGGTACAATGGGAGGAGGGTTGTCGGCGAGGAGGGGGGGGGGTATTTTGCCTAGACAGTGATGTTACCTTATCTTCGAATTCCCACAGCCAATTGGTCTTTCAAGTGCAGTAACACTGTCCGTTAACGACCCAATTACCTTGGACGCCATCACGGGTGCATATGGCCCCGTGAGCGAACATTACGTTATTTTGGCGCCACCAGAATCGTTCCTATATCTAAATAGTAACATACAATCCGGGTTCGTTGGCAATCGTAATTTTATTCTGGCTGTTATGCAGTTTTAACCTTTCTGTACTATTGACAAGGAAATCCCGACAGTTTGGATACAACAGTTATTGAACTGCTAATAAATTAGTGGGTTTAGGCGTCTGTTTAACATTTTTCTGTTCTATTTAAAGATTCGATTCAAGTTTAAGATTTTCTAGATATGTAAAAAAAAAGTCTACCGCTTAACCCCTTTGTTTCTAGCAGCAAAAAAAAGAGAAAACATTCAATTTTACAAATCAGCTGAAAATAGGCAAAGACACTATATTCCTGGACCCGAGTTCACCAAGCATTCTCAGACTTAAGTTAAGAATTTACTCAACTTTCATTCACTTTTTATGAGAAATATCTTTGATCCAGGAACACAAAAATTGCACATAATTTCTTATTGATGAATTTGATACATTAAAACAACAACAGTTTTATAAAGGGCTATATTGTAGTTAAAATAAGGCGAACAATTTTGAGTAAATTCTTAACTTAAGTCTGAGAATTCTTTGTGAACCAGGGACCGGACAAAAAGGCCAATATCGACCTCCATCTTAGTTAGTCTTAGTAAAAAGTATTTGCATCCCCAATTTTTTAAAATTTACCTAAAGTTTCCATTATTTTGCGTTGATTTCACGGTTTTATCATTTTGTCTTAGATTGTCAGTCAGGGGCAGAATAAAGACAAAACAAAACAAAAACCAATCTATAAATTATAACTGTCTCAATTCTAGATTTTGGAGACACGTTGATTTTATGAAGATCACGTGACTCTTGAAACAATAAATTACCATCTTGCATTGAGAGAGAGAGAGAGAGAGAGGGGGGGGTAACGTTCACTCAACACAAACTAGATCATTATGGGATGAAAACATGGATTAATTTTATTTCAATACCTCGCTTGCGCGTAGGAGTGTTTCGCAGTGGGAGGAAATCGGAGGACCCGGAGAAAACCCACGAGATAAAACAGGCGACACTACTCTTTGTCACGTACGACCGGGGAATCGAAACCACGACAGTTGACACAATGACAGACCTTATAATACAACCATCCAACCCCTACAATTTTCATACTAATGATGACATTTATCGCAGATTAGAGCAAGATTTGTATACGAGATTTAAAAAAAAAAAAAAAAAAAAAAAAAATTCTTAACCAAACATCCTCATAGGAGTTGTTGTAAAACATACCTGTTTATTTTTCATCAAAAACCAATTCAATAATATTTTAACAGCGTGCGCTGAAAGAGCTGAACAAGCGATTAATCATACAGAACTCGAATCTAAATAATAGTGACGAGTGTCGTACACGAGGCAAGATGTATTTGCATCTATCAAAACACTTCATACAACATTTTACATTTGGAATTTCAATCTGACCTTGTTTATGTTTATTTCTCAAATTCCAGGGGGCTTCCGCAAATGAATGGGTAACAAAAGATGCCCTCGCCAGTAGATGCAAGAAAGAGGGCATCACAAGGAAATAGAGTCTAGTCATTTGGGTGGGACGACAAATCGAGGTCCATGAACCCTTGACATTTCGAATTCAAGTTACTTAGGATCCATTCGGACGTCTTTAATTATTCTAAACCTCCTGTCTTACTGTCTCCCTTAAGCTTATCTCGCTTTAGAAACGTCTATAATTGTTACCACTTTAAAACATGCATCATCATTACAACTTTATTAACTCATAAAAATTTATATAATTACTACCACTTTATTAACCTATAAAAATTTATATAATAATTACTACTTTATTAACTTATAAAAACTTATATGATTATTACCACTTTATTAACTCATAAAAACTTACATAATTATTACCACTTTATTAACTCATAAACTTATATAATTATTACCACTTTATTACCTCATAAAATCTTACATAATTATTAACACTTTGTTAACTCATAAAACCTTACATAATTATCACCACATTATCAACTCATAAAAGCATACATATTTTTCATTACTTTATTAACCCACAAAAACTCACTTAACTATTACCACTTCATTAACTCATAAACACTGACATAATCATTATTACTTTATTAACTCATAAAACCTCCATTAACTCATAAAAACTTCTATAATTATCACTACTTTATTAACTCATAAATACTTATATAATTATTACCACTTTATTAACTCATAAAAACATTCATAATTTGTACTACTTTATTAACTCATAAAAACTTACCACTTCATTTGCTCATAAACCATGGCATAATTATTACCACTTTATTAACTTATAAAAACTTACATAATCATTACCATTTATTGACTCATAAAAACGCCATTAACTCCTAAAAACTTCTATAATTATCACTACTTTATTAATTCACAAACACTTATATAATTATTACCACTTTATTAACTCAGAAAAACTTACACAATTATTACCACTTTATTAACTCATAAAAAAATATTGTACTTATATAATTATTGCGTGTACGTTAAAGAACCCTTGCGTGCTGGAATTACATATTACCCGGGGTATTCTAGTCAAAGGTTCAGTATCCTCATAGCGAAAATACAATATAACATCAGACGTAAAAAATCGTTTTGTTTTTTTGTTTTTGTTTTTGTGAAAATCAACATTAATCATTTTAGTTTATTTGAAACACAAATTAAACATTTGAGCAGGGCTGTTTAAAGACGTGTCATTTTTATCTCGAAGCAACGGAGAGCATATCATCATCTACTCGGCAAAGAAACAACAGTGGTTTATTTTCAGAGGTTGAGTGAGAATTCGAATTTAAACAGCTGCATAACACTATACACCTATTATTCAGATTAGCGACATTGTCACTAGCCCGGGTGTCGCGGGTTCCTTTGACAAAAATCCCAAAGGATGTATAGGATGGAAAACTGGGATCTCTTGGCAATTTGAGAGAGATCCGGTTTCCTCCCACTGCTAAATGCTAAAAGACCCCTACGCGCAAGCGAATTATTGAAATGATATGACCTAGTTTGTGTCGAGTTGACGTTAAACCCCATTTCTCTCTCACACATGAGGTTGGACAGGCGACCCTACTCCTTGTCACACGCAACCTAGGAATCGAAACCATCCAGCGCGCACGATATGATATAGCGCGCACGTGATAACCATTCGGCCATCCACCACCCCCACCCGCTTACCAGAAAGAGAGAGAGAGAGGGAGAGAGTGTGTGTGTGTGTGTGTGTGTGGGGGGGGGGTGTATAACTTCCACTCGACACAAACTAGATTATTCCGGAAGTAACATATGGTTCATTTTCTCATTGCAATAATTCACTTGCGTGTAGGGGTCTTTAGCAGTGGGTGGACACTAGAAGACCCGGAGAAAACCCGTGAAGTTTGGACAGTCGACCCTACTCCAACGAAAACACACCACTTGCCTGGATGACAGACCCTACAATTTAAACCACACGCTTTAACCCCCCACCCTCCCCCGCCCCATTTCATATCATGATACTTAAAGAGCCAGAGAGATTGAGAAATGGAGTTTAATGTCCACTCGACACAGACTAGGTCATATTAGGACTAACATATGGTTTAATTTTATTTCAATAATTCGCTTGCGCGTAGGGGTCTTTAGCAGTGGGAGGAAACCGGAGGACCCGGAGAAAACCCACGAGGTTGTACAGTCAACCCTCCTCCTTGTCACGTACAACCGGGGATTCGAAACCACGCCAGTTGACTCGATGACAGACCTTATGATACTGCGCGCGCGTGCTAACCATTCGCCCCCCCCCCCTTAAAAAGCCAGTCATCCAAATCATTCGCATAGCCTGATAGAGTACTGTATTATTTCGATGTGAGGATGGTCTTTAAATATGTACTAAAAGAAATAAAAACTTCACAGAGATAGGACTGGATTAGATGAATAAGAACGCAAAGTTATTATTATTTTAGAAGATGCATACAGATAACCGATTGAAATGATAACAAACCTCGTCTGACCATAACTTAGTTAAATCTCAAAGATTTCAGTACATTTTAAACCAAAAAGAAATTTTTGTTAATTGTATGTTGTCTTAAACTCAAAGCTCTATGATTTTTTTAAAAGAAAAGTTTCTTACCCTCAGAACTAAGTGATTTGAGACGTTACTCCTTTTCACACTTTTTTGGCAATAGTTAAAACACTAAAAAAAAAAACATCATTTGAAAAGCGAATTATTGATTTAGTTTACGTTGTCTCAAATAAATGTAAATATTGGTTGTATTTTCCCATGAATACCTCGAAATAGTTTGAGTACATTCCCATCCCTCGATGTACCAAATCTTGTAGATCTTTAGGTGGATTTATAATTGTGATGTTTTGGTGAAATGAAGTCAATCTTCAAACAGAACGCATAATACCCTATATTATCAAGATTGAGTTGTTTTTTCATGTTTTAATTGTAAAACTACATTTTTTGGCTTCTTTGTGTTTTTTAACTTGTTTTGATGTTTCGATTATGTTAATCCAATATGAAACCCACTCTTGTATTTTATCCCTTAACTATGAACTTTTATGGGCGGAATGTATCATAAGGTCTGTCATTGAGTCAACTGGCTTGGTTTCAATCCCCGGTTGTACGTAACAAGGAGTAGGGTCGCGTGTCCAACCTCATGGGATTTCTCCGGGTCCTCCGCCAGCCCCCCCCCCCACTGCTAAAGACCCCTACGATGTATTGAAAAATAATAGAACCATATGTTAGTCCCGAAATGATCTAGTTTGTGTCGAGTGGGTGGACGTTAAATCAGCTTTCAAATGTATAGAACTGTTTGTATTAGAGGGTGCATGTCCAACACACTACACACAAAAAAATAAATTCAAATCCAGCTTAGACAAAACGGGGAAATTATATATTTGTGTAGGATCACGACACGACAGATAATTATGTTTGGTTAGGCGAGGTTTCCCTCTGTCAGTCGTACAGGACGGCGGATCTGGCAAGGGAGAATTTCTAGTCGTTCGGATAGAAATACAAACCGAGGTCCCGTGTACCCATTGATATGCACATAAAAGAATCCTTGGCAGTTGGAATTCGATATAAGAGCAGAACGTATCGCCGCTGTACGTTCAAAATAAACTTTATAGCACTCTGTATGGCGTAAGCACGTCTCCATTAGCCCAGTCAGAGCAGAACCGTAGGACGTTAAACCCTCTTTCATTTCAGATTTTGGTTAATTTTGGCGGGTATTATGTAGATCTATAATTCTATGTGATTTGTGTTTTGCAGATTTTGGTTAATTTTGGCGGGTATTGCAGCGTTTGGTATTATTGTACTCAGTGTCACGTATCTTGTGTGCAAGTACCGAGTCCCGCGAGAAGGTAAGATGTAAAACTCGTATTGCTTTCGTTTTGTTTATAAATTTGCTTTAATACACAACTTAGGTTTAATGTGAACGTCATAACCACTGTTAATATACAACTTAGGTTTACTGGGGACCTCGCTACCACTGTTAATATACAACTTTGTTTTAATGGGGACCACTCGGCAAACCTCGGCAGATTCCGTTACTCTACATCTAGCCGCGGCTGTATGACGGTACGTCATGTGTACCTACGCCTATACAATTGCGATGCGGCATCGGTTTACTTATTAGGAAAACTTGCTGCTTTTAAAATGAAGTTATCAAAATTGCGTCGTTCGAAGCGTGTGTAGAATTTTTAGTGCAAAGTTGTCCTTGTTTGAGAAAATCGGATAAACTTGAAAGAAAAACAGCTTCAGACTTTGAAATATGTGTATGATAAAACATTTTTCAAAGGCGTCGTCATGGGCAACGTCGTTGGTAATGCGGAAACTTGAAAGTAGTTCCAATAGCGGACTTCGTCATACAGCCAAGGCTAGATGTAGGGTATTAGAATCTACTAAGGTTTGCCAAATGTAATGGGGACGTCGCTACCACTTTCCAGATTTTATATTCATTGTATCTCGGAAGAGTTAGAATTTAAACGTGATTCCCAATTAGTGACAATGTTATGGCCTTTGATGTGAAATTATAGTCAAAATCATGAATGCGGTAATCGGTTTATATATTTTACACCTGAATTTACAGAAACGTGGTATGAGACTAGTTGAACTGCCAGGACTGGTTGAAATAGTTTCAATCCCCCAGACTAGTTGAAATAGTTCAAACCCCCTCACTAGTTGAAATAGTTTCGTCAGATATAGCTCTGGACATCGTGGAAATACGCCACGTGAACCTTAGCGAGAGAGAGAGAGAGAGAGAGATGGGGTTTAATGTCCATTCGACACAAACTAGATCATTTCGGGACTAACATACGGTTTAATTTTATTTCAGTAATTTGCTTGCGCGTACGGTTCTTTAGCACTGGGAGGAAACCGGAGGACCCGGAGAAAACCCACGAGGTTAGACAGGCGACCCTACTCCTTGTCACGTACAACCAGGGATTCGAAACTACGCCAGTTGACTCAATGACAGGCCTTATGATACAGCACGCACGTGCTAACCATTCGGCCATCCAACCCCCCGAATCTTAGCGAGATTTGTCAATTAGCTACGGTGATCGAGTTAGGTGTGGTAAAGAAACCCATTATTCCTTATTGACAGACTTCAAATCAATCAAGTTCGCTTGTTGGTTAGTGGGGTGTAACGTCCGCTTCCGCTGATGGTAAGGTCGTTAACAAGATCCAGTGTAGTTGTATTTCTTGATTTCTAAATAAGTGGGTAAATCGTGCATTCTTCACCATGCGACCTATTTGGCTTTCGTTCAATAACTTAAGTTTGCCCTGAACTTTAGTTTTCAATTTGTGTTGGTCCATACACAACCCTGTTAATAATCATAATATATAATATATCCATTTCAATAGCACCAAGGGGGATTGGATGACTGAATGGTTAGCGTGCGCGCGCTGTATCATAAAGTCTGTCATTGAGTCGACTGGCGTGGTTTTGAATCCCCGGTTGTACGTGACAAGGAGTAGGGTCGCCTGTCCAACCTCGTGGGTTTTCCCCGGGTCCTCCGGTTTCCTCCCGCTGCTAAAGACTCCTATGCGCAAGGCGAATTATTGAAATCAAATTAAACCATATGTTAGTCCCAAAATGACCTAGTTTGTGTCTAGTGGACGTTAAACCCCATCTCTCTCTCTCTCCCTCTCTCTCTCTCTCTCAATAGCACCAAATCCACTTCGCGGGTATCACGTGGCTAAGTGGGTAAGACGCTAGCTTGCTAGCCTGGAGGTCGGATGTTCGATCCCTGCATTGGCCGAGAAAGTTCATCCAGATTTTCCGGCGTGGTTCTCCCTTGTCAGTGATGCAGGACGGAGGGGCTGAAAAGGAAAGCTGTCTAGTCGTTCGGATGGGACGAAAAACCGAGGTCTCGTGTACACATTGGCGTGCACGTAAAAGATCCCTTGGCAGTTGGAATTCGATATAAGAGTAGGCCGTAGTGCCGCTGTCCGGGGAAAATTTCCCTCATAGCACACTGTATGGCGTATGCCCGTCTTCATTAGCCCAGGTTAGGAGCAGAAAAGTAGGACGTTAAACTCCATTTCATTTCATTTCATTTCCAAATCCACTTCGCATACGAAAACGGCATACAAAAGTCCTTAGCTCAATCTGATTTCGTTTCGTGTTTTATAGTTTATAATTTCGTTTGATTTGTCTGTACTGCGTTCTGGATGGCGTACTGGTCAGATCTTCATGTAGTGTAGGTCATCTAAAGAATAAAAAAATGAAACGAAATATAGATCTGTATTTCAACCAGATTGTCCTTGGCTCTAAGTTGTTTGTCAATGTTTGTAATCAATTTTGAAAAGATGAGTTTTTAATCTGAAGAATGACACAGAAATCACAAAAATTATGGTAGACAGACGTTTCGGTTAATAGCATGGAGTTTAATGTCCTAGTTTTCTGCTCTATCGGAACTGACGAAGACGGGTATACCCCATGCAGTGTGCTATAAGACGAATTTTGTCCGGACAGCGGCGTTACGGCCTACTGGAGACAATATAGACTGGAATGGCGGAGACGAACTGTACTATGTTGCGTTAGATTTAGACATATATCATTTTATTTTACATGTAATAAAGTAATTCTTATATTTTAAATAATGTTTCAGATGCCGAAAGCGAAAACCAAAATGATCTATTTGAAGAGACGATATGTGAAACTAAATTTAAAAAGATAACAAAACGAGGCAAACCGGAAGTAACGGAGAGTGAGCTATCCAGCTTTTTAATGCGAACTGAAACAAAAGCGAAAGTAGCAACAGCACAAAAATCAACCATCCCAGTTCGACCACTGGATGTTCGAGATCGTGATTCACCCCCTGCGTTCACTCATACGAGTGGTTTATCACCTAGATATAGTTCTCACGACAGAAGAACACCGCGTGCTGTGAATTTGGGATTTTTACCGGATGTTGGGTGAGCAGCAGACCGGTGTAGATTAGATTACCCTAATAACTTTATATAATAATCAGAATATGTTGCCTTTCAAACCGAAATACGAAACTCTGATACTGAACATGGAAACTAACTGTAAATACGAAATGTGGTGGACAACAAATATATATAACTATGCACTAGTGCCGGGCATTTCTTTTTGTCAATATTGCTCAAAGTATTACAAAAAATGATGTGTAGAATGTTTATTTTCATAACATATACTCGTATCTTTCTTTTCGGTCACATTTGAAAATAATTTTCTGGCTATTGACAAAAAACGCTCTTAATAGTTCTTATTGGTGATTATTAAGACCGAGCCCCAGAAACAATATAATATGATTTCATTATAACTTATTTCAATATATAACATACTTGTATTAACTTAAATTATATGATATTGTGTTGACAGGGAGGGTGGGGGGTGTCGGTGACGGTTATAATCCTTGGCTTCATTTTATATTTGATTGTCTCTCCGCCCGTTTCCGTATATCATTGTTTTACTACTATATTCGTTATTGCGTGTGGTGCAGTCATCCCGCTCCTTTGGATAGCGTAGTTTATATTGTATGTGGTGCAGTCGTATTACCAGTCAAAGCACAACAACTACACCATCATTTCAAACAGCTGACTACCATGTGATAATTTTTTTTTGTTCAAAGATACATTCTGTAAAATTTTGATAGATAATACAAAAGTTCTTATAATATTTTTTAACAGGTTGACCACCAGGGAGAAAGCCCCCTACATTGTCGTCTCCATATTTTACCTTTGTTCGGTTGATATTTTCGCAGATATTAACATTAGACTGTTGTACATTTATAATAATAAAGTTGTATTTATTTCAAGCTACCATGGTAATAATATAAAGTTGTATTTATTTTAAGTTGCCATGGTATTATAAAGTTGTATTTATTTTAAGTTGCCATGGTAATATAAAGTTGTGTTTATATCAAGTTACCATGGTAATATAAAGTTGTGTTTATATCAAGTTACCATGGTAATATAAAGTTGTGCTTATCCCAAGTTACCATGGTAATATAAATTTGTGTTTATATCAAGTTACCATGGTAATATAAAGTTGTGTTTATATCAAGTTGCCATGGTAATATAAAGTTGTGTTTATGTCACGTTACCATGGTAATATAAAGCTATGTTTATTTCAACCTACTTACCCCGTGAAATGATATAAATATTTCAGCAATAATCTGTGATAAATAATTTGATGTGATTTATTTAATTAAGTTTGTTACATTTAAATATTAGTGAAATCTGCGAATTCCGTCCATCCATTTAGATTGTAACACGAGATATGTATTTTAAATTAGATATGTATTTTAAATTAAAAAATAAAACGTAATAATTTGTTGTTAAATGCAGTAAATACTCAGCATACTCCGGCTCGTGCACGACACTTGTGGTTAACGGGGGGCGGCGTTTAAGGAAATAAAATAGAGTTTAACGTTTTACCAACTGTCAATGTTTTTTTTTACGTACACGTCAACTCAACTCGTACCCCGTCTTTTTGTACACGGTGAATGACTAGACACTGAAGAAAAGCCAGAAACGCCATTCGTAGAGAGAGAGAGAGACAGACAGAGAGACAGAGACAGAGAGACAGACAGAGAGAGAGAGAGAGAGAGAGAGAGACAGACAGACAGACAGACAGAGACAGACAGAGAGACAGACAGACAGACAGAGACAGAGAGATTCAACGTCCACTTGACACAAATTAGACCATTACGGGACTAACATATGGTTCAATTTTATTTCAATAATTCGCTTGCGCATAAGGGTCTTTAGCAGCGGGAGGAATCCAGAGGACCCGGAAAAAAAACCCACGAGGTTGGACAGGCGACCCTACTCCTTGTCACATACGACGGGGGAATCGAAACCACGACAGTTGACTCAGTGACAGACCCTTATGATACAACGCATACGCGCTAACCATTCGGCCATCCAACACTATCTTCAAATCGGAACTTCTCTACCTTTCCCATCATCATTAAACAAGTGCGATAAGAAAGCAGTTTTTAATCTCACCTGTCAGTCAGGTAAGCTGAAATATAACAACATTATTGAAGCCGAGAGTTTGGCGTAGGACAGGTGGGTGATTTAGTAAACCAGTGCTGGGTGTACACTTTGGTTTGACTTGTAATTGTAAGAACTGGCAGCAAAAAGCCGAGTTGTTTGATGTCACGACCAACTTGATGGCAGACAAGCTGAATAAACCACGAGTTGATATAAAAATCAAATATGGCCACCATATTAGAACGGGATAAAATAATATCACACTTACGCATCATATTTAAGCAGAAACAATCTGACGCCATCTTTGTTATCAGTAAACTTAAACGGGCATTATGGGGGATTAAATAAAGAGTTGACCGTTCTGGAGAGAGAGAAAGAGGGTGGAGTTTAACGTCCACTCGACCCAAACTAGGTCATTTCGGGATTAACATATGGTTCAATTTTTTTTCAATAATTCGCTCCACTCTGAACTGAGATATTAGCTTTTGAATTTTTAGCTAGCCTCGATCATCATTACTAAAGTCGATACAATCCATTTTTACGTTTAATTATTTTTCAAAAAAAAATGTATTCCTATCCCTTAAATTTCACAGGCTATCGATGGCATCGATAGTTAATTATGGTCTGGATAATTTAATTAATATCTAATTAATAATTGAGATAACATTTCAGGCCTAAAGAAAGACCTGCAATAGGTAGATTTAGCTCTTGTATAATGTTTGTTTAAAGGGGCTAATTCTCTATTCTTTTAACCCAAAAATGGACGGAAATCGATCAAAATATAGACATTAATATAAACGAATGTATATAAACTAATTTACATTCATGTTTTAAAAGTTTTTATTGTAATTTCTAATCGTAGTTTCTTTCGTTGAAATACGCGAACAGTCCAAATTGAATGGCACTGTCGCTGTGGCCTGGTTAATCAGTCTACATCGGAAATCTGTTTTGACATTTCGTGCTGACTTTAAGCCTCGTTCATCAAGGCGCCTTATTGCAAATCGCGCTCAAGAGTATCAAGTAAGACACCGGCGTGTTATTTAAATAAACTATGTCAGATATCAACATCACTATTGATTAAAATAGACAAATAAGTCATGCTGGGGCTTGTAGAAATGAAATGAAATGGGGTTTAACGTCCACCAGTTCTGCTCCTAAACTGGACTAATGACGGGCATACGCTATACAGTGTGCTATGAGGGAAATTTGGCCCGGGCAGCGACGCTACGGCCTACTCTTATATCGAATTCCAACTGCCAAGGGATCTTTTACGTGCACGCCAATATGTACAGGGGACCTCGATTTTTTGTCCCATCCGAACGACTAGACAGCTGTCCTTGTCAGGCCCGCCGTCCTGCATCACTGACAAGGGGAAACCACGCCGGAAAATCTGGATGAACTTTCTCGGCCAATGCAGGGATCGAACACCCGACCTCCAGGCTAGCGAGCCAGCGTCTTACCCACTTAGCCACGTGATCCCACGGGGCTTGTAGAAGGGAGGGAGTTGGAGCCTGGTGGGAAAAGAATGTTTGACTCTGTAGAAGAGCAATCTGATTAAAATACAGATCTATATTTCGTTTCGGTTTTATATAATTTCCATGGCCTCTACTACATGAAGATCTGATCAGTTGTAGTGGAAGGTAGCGCCAGGGGTCAAACGAGCGGCTTTTGGCCCGATGACGAAAGACATTGATTAACCAACCAGCGTTGACGTTTCTAGTGGTTTACCCACTGTTCCGTGCCCCGCACGCCAAAAACTCGCCGTAACATACCGTTTCATTGGCTAATCCCTTACATCATCCAGAAGGCGGGTTATATAACAACTCTTCCAGACCCTAGTGTAGTAAAGACAAGTAAAACTAAATTTTTGAACTAAAAGGCGAAACGAAATAGGATCTGTGTTTTAATCAGGTTTGTAGAGAGAGGGTTTTAGAAACTGTAGAAGTCTAAAATCATACAGAATATATGAGGCCCTAACCCTAACCCTCATAGTATACCGAGTTCTAATATTAAACCCATATTCCAAAACATATACTACACGAACACTCGAATCGCCCTCAGAGAAACACAGTGACAATTGGAACAACAACCTTAGACTAGGTAATCTGTACTGCGCTATTCTGACTTCAAAATAGTTAGTCAGAAAAGGAGTGACGTAGGGGTGAGTCTGACGTAATTAGACCAGGCTATCCAGTCTAAACACACGTCACAGTATAATTAAGCCCCGAACATCACAGTCCTTATAAAAGTCACTTACCGTTGTCAGAACATGTTGATAGTCCGCTACTAAGGAGAGAAATTGTATCTAAACCCCTGGATTTCAGCGATGATGACAACTCTATGATTGCATCATGAACGTCAAACAACTCGACACTTTGTGAATTGACGCAAACACAAAAATACAGTGTTTTTTTGACAATTCTTGGGATCAACCAGTTTTATCAAATTGTCTGAGTTCTGTCATGAATATATCATATAGCCTTATATTGTCTTGCGATCTGTCATTATAGCTCCGTTTAACCAAACGGTCAATAGTCACGTCCAATATTTATTCTCTTTATTGGGTAATAAAAACAAAGGTTACTCTACTTGCTTTCTATCTGTTTATATTTATTTTTTCAATTCATTGTTAAATTCCAATCAATTGCATTTCCTTATGAATAGACAATGAATTGGGTGGTTGGGGGGGGGGGGAGAGATGCACCATCTTGTTAATACTAGGAATGCGTTCAATCTGATTAAAATACAGATATTTCGTTTCGTTTTTTTATACTTTCCTTGGCCTCTACTACATAAAGATCTGACCAATTGGTAGTGGGAGGTCGCGTCTGGGGGGGTCATACGAACGGCTTTTGACCTATGACGTCATACTTTTGATTAACTAAACAGCTTTGATGCTTATACTGGGTCACCCTCAGTTCCGTGCACCGCACGCCAAGAAATCGACGTAACAGACCGTTTCACTGGCTACTCTATCACATCAACAAGAACGCGGGTTATATAACAACTGTTCCAGGACCAAGTGTAGTAAAGGGGGCAGGGGTTAGGTTGGGGCGTAGAACGATTAGCCCGTGAGTGCTGTATCATAAGGTCTGTCATTGAGTCAACTGGCGTGGATTAGATTCCCCTGTTGTACGTGACAAGGAGTAGGGTCGCAGCTTATCCCCGATTGTGGGTGAAGATTTCCATAATTCTTCCCAGTCCACTCCCAGGTTAAAACCAAAGATATTCTGCTTCTGAGGCCAATGAATTAACAACACGACTATCGCGGTAACAAACCCGACTATGCTAATGAAGACTGGTATACGCCATACAGTGTGCTATGAGGGAAATTTTGCCCAGACAGCGGCACTACGGTCTACTCTTATATCGAATTCCAACTGCCAAGGGTTCATTTACGTGCAAGCCAATGTGTACACGAGTCCCCGGTTTATCGTCCCACCCGAACGACTACACGTTGTCCATTGCCAGACTCTCTGTCTATCTCGGTCACACGTGTAAAATATGTATTTACATCCAATCTGGCAGCACAAATGTTTACCTCAGAAAATCAATGTTGATGCAGCACACATCTTTTGTTTTTAAAATACAAAAACATTACCACGAGCAATCATGATTTTACCATAAGATGTATTGATAGAGTCGAAACATATTCAAAAAATATATTTAAAAAAACAAAAACAACAACGCTTGTTTTAATTAGGACCAAAGAAAGTTCAAAGAGGATAATCCGAGAGAGAGAGAGAGAGAGAGAGAGAGAAAGAGAGAGAGAGAGAGAGAGAGAGAGAGAGAGAGAGAGAGAGAGAGAGACGGGGGGGGGGGCTTAACACCGAGTCGACACAAATTATTCCAATAATTCGCTTGCGCGTAGGGATCTATGATTTTAGCTGTGGGAGAAAACCCAAGAGTTTTGTCACGGTTGATCCAGCTCCTTGTCACGTACAAGCGGGGACTCGAAACCACGCGACTTGACTTAATGACAAACCTTTAGATCTAAAGCCCACGCGTTATCACTCTGCCATCTACCCCCACCCCACCCCCTCGGAGGAATGCGGAAGACCTGGAGAAAACCCACAAGGTTAGATAGGCTACCCTACTTCTGGTCACGTACAAGCTTTGAATAGAAACATCACTGGACTCAATGACAAACCTTGTGATATAAGGAAATTCAGTCACCCGAAAAATAAGAGCGTAGGGCTGTCGAGAAAAATAGACAATAGGAGTAGCTCTACTTGTGATTACAGAACAATATCCAAAATAATTCCCTCCGTGTAAAAGGATTAAATGGTCTGACAAAAGGAGTAGCTCTACTCGTGATTACAGAACAATATCCAAAATAATTCCCTCGCTGTCAAAGGATTAAATGGTCTGACTATTATATATAGGTCGACAATAATACTTTATATTCCAGGCGATCATAAAACTGTTCGTGAGAAAATATCTAAAACTAGACTGTTCGCACTTAAGGTGTCGCCAAAAATGTCACCAAAATTACATTCCAGATCCCATGTCCACACAACTGGACGTCATTTCTTACATTTTTCCCTGAAATCAAAGGTCCGGGGATTTTGAGAACTGTAGATACCCGATACGGAAGGAATTCAGACTGGTTGTCCTTTAAGCATTGGGTTGTTTGGAATATGGGAAATCTAGTTCCCCAAAGACATTCTGTACAAACGAACCGTCATCAAAAATGGCGCGGGTAAATTTACCTAGATGTAGCCGTATTGTTCGTTCGTGTTTGTACAGTTCCGTTTATTAGTTGTAGTCGCTGACTGTCCAGTAGTTATCAGTAATAGTCACTGACAGTCCAGTAGTTATCGATCTCTAATTTGTCTACGCCCATCAACGTATTTCAAAGAAAAAATATACCATTTATATGGAATTCTAAAACGCGCGGCGTTCCGACAAGTGTTTTTTGTACTTATTTCACAGGTCGTGGCTTCCCCTTGTCAGCGGTGCAGGGTGTAGGGCCTGACAAAGACAGCTGTCTAGTCATTCAGTTGGGACGAAAACCGACGTCCAATTTAGACATTGGTGTGCGCGTAAAAGATCCCCTGGCAGTCGGAATTTGATTTAAGAGTAAACCATAGCGTGTCTCCATTAGCCCAGTAGGAGCAGAACAGTAGGACGTTAAACCACATACAATTTCATTTAATATCTTTGTTCCGTCTTTTACTGATGTGTCTCTATAAAAAAAATAAACCAGTAACTAACAGTAACTTGTGAGATGTCTGTGATTATAGAAATTTCTAACCAGTATTCTTCAATTGATAATATTTCTTCTGAAAATATTATTGACACCCCGCAGTTGGTTGTTATAAATATTTAAATAATATTTTAATAGGAAACAAATCTTATTGTAAGATTTAAATTTTATTTGAAACTTTGTAAATAGTTTAAATTGATAATATTTCTTCAGACAATATTATTGACACCTCGCAATTGGTTGTTATAAATATCTAAATATCATTTTAATAGGAAACAAATCTTATTGTAAAATTTAAAGTTTATATCATACTTTATAAATAGATTAAAAATAGCCTACTTCTCTACGAATGTAATATCTGGCCGATATCCCACAACAATAATTGTATACAAATATTATTTTTAAGTTTTTATCAAAACGTCGTATTTAAGATAATTATACAATATTTGACAACGTCACACATTTTCAACACTGCCAATATTTTATTTGTCGAGTCGCCTTTTTATATAAATTTACTGGTTTAATGTCATATTTCTTTTATTTTCTTTATTCCCACATTTTTATCAAACGTTATTCAAAATAAATAGAAATTAAGATGCATTATGTAAATTAAGATGTATTATGTATATTAAGATGTAAATTAAGATGTATGATGTAAATTAAGATGTATGATGTAAATTAAGATGTATTATGTAAATTAAGATGTAAATTAAGATGTATTATGTAAATTAAGATGTAAATTAAGATGTATTATGTAAATTAAGATGTATTATGTAAATTAAGATGTATTATGTAAATTAAGATGTAAATTAAGATGTATTCTGTAAATTAAGATGTATTATAATTAAGATGCATTATGCAAATTAAGATGTATTATGTAAATTAAGATGCATTATGTAAATAAAGATGTATTATGTAAATTAAGATGTATTATGTAAATAAAGATGTATTATGTAAATTAAGATGTATTATGTAAATAAAGATGTATTATGTAAATAAAGATGTATTATGTAAATTAAGATGTATTATGTAAATTAAGATGCATTATGTAAATTAAGATGTATTATGTAAATTAAGATGCATTATGTAAATAAAGATGTATTATGTAAATTAAGATGTATTATGTAAATAAAGATGTATTATGTAAATTAAGATGTATTATGTAAGATTTAGATAAAGAGTTGATAGTTCTCAATATAATAATTAAAAAAATAGCTAATGAAAAGAGAATGTGTTGACAATTTCAGTCAAATTACTTTATTTCGTCAGCAGGGAAAGTTCGCGTTTTTGTATTTCTATGTGTACTGACAAAACCAGACGCCGAAATGTTTGGGGAAATCCACGTAAATGACGTGAGGATTTGTCTGAACAACATGGACATTGTAAAGAATCTACCATTTTCAAGATGAACGCGCAGCAGCAAGAGCGGTTGACTGGTTTTATTAGAAGTTGAATATAAATATCCGGTTGTGCAAAACTCGCTTATGGAGCAATTTGTTTTACGCACTCGTTTTCATGAAAATGGTTCCATTACATTTGCATACACCGACTTTTTCGCCAGCGAAAACGCGTACATGGACAGAGGGCCTAATTCATTTCAATGAAAATATACATTTGTGGTCATAAAACTAAAATAAGTGATGAGGCAAAAAATTTAAATATTCAAAACTGCAAACAGCAGAAGAGAGAGAATTATTTTTATACATACATATTTAGTAACACTTTATTCACCTGCTAATTTTATCGAATGGGATTGTTTCCTCGGTGATATTCCCGACCCAGCTCGGTAGTTACTTCCGGCAAAGTACACAACAATTTGAACTATTTTGATTTATTTGGTTTGTAGACATGTGTTGATGTTTTTTATCACTAGTTTTATACCCAATGACTCTCAAGTGCTCCACCCCATGTTCCGAAATCCAGGAAGAGATTCTGGGAATTTCTTCTACGTATTTTAGGTGTACCACAAATTCTCTCTAATTTAAACGGAATCGTTTTCAAGGAAAGACAAAATAAAAAAGACTCCCCAGAATTCGAATATCGAATTTTTGAAATCTCGATGATGTTTGAAACGTGTTTGAGGTGTACTAAGCTTTGTTTAAATTGTAAAGATAACGAATGGTATTTTTCCGGTATTTCAAGTTCCGTATAGTCAGATTTCTAAATAAACCTTTCCTTTCATTCTAACAATCTATAACTTAAACAAATCACATTTCTCGACAGAAAGATTTTGGAAGTGAGAAAATAAGAGAGTG